AGACATACACAGTGACTATTAAGAAATATATAGCCTCTGAATTCACTCATATCCTTACATCTTATCCTTACAGCTTCAGAGTCTACATGTGTTTAATAACATAGATTTGGTTTTGTACTTACAGTTGAATATGAGTCTCAGGGTCTCTGCCTGAGGTTAAGATGGCCCCAATTTGTAGTGTTAGTTTAGACTCCTCAAAATCCCCTACCCGTGGAGAACTGCCACAGAATAATTTTACTCTGCTGTTGTCAAGCCTTATATAAGCATGTTTGGCAATGGTATCACTGTGTCCAGCTGGGAAAAGACATCACAACATCGGACTCCCTGCCTTCATATTGGCCAGAAATGCCTCTACTGTCTTCTCAGCTGTGACCAGATCATGTTGCCTTTGTTCCCCAAAGGCAGAGCATTGGCATGATAGCTGAGGTAAGTTTCAAACATTAAAAGGACCTTGGACCAACATATAAGTAAGAAAGGTAAAAAAAAACACAAAAAAAAAAGCATACACATGAAAACTTATTGTGCCATATGCAGCCCTTCTGACCACAGATAACTGGGTGCAAACAAGCAAAAGGTATCTGAATAAAAGACAGTCTGCCTTACGCCTTGCTTTTTGATTTACTAAATGTTCCCAGGACGTTAATTGCTCTCGGTGCCAAAGTTCACACACAAATGCAATCAATAAGGGTTAAAAATATAAGAAAAAAGGACCTGAAGAAAAAGAAGGGAAGAAATAAAACCTAAAATACTAATAAAACTGTTATTTGTCCCCAGCTTACTGAATTTTGAGCAAATCCATATGACTCAGTTGGGAATTTCTTTACTTACATTCAGCTCCAGATATTTATATCACATTTGCTATGATCTATATCACAGGCATGCAATCCACTCTACCACCAGTGTATCATGCTTGGCCACTAAACCTCAAATCCTGAATGCAAGTATACTACACAGGTTAGTGAATAAATTCATTACTTTTTAATTGTGGAACAGCTTGTGTGTAGCTCTATGTGTTATAACTGGATTTCTGACATAAAGTTCTGCTTTGTTGAAAAAGACATGAAGAACACTATTTGACATGTATGCTATTTTTCAAATATCGGTGCAAGTGAGTTCAAAGTATACTCAAGAGACACAGGATTCATCAAGGTAACCGTAGGTATGTAACATGATTCAAAAGGGGAACTTGCTGGCAATGAAATCAAATTAAAGAGAGAGAAAGACCACACAGATAACCATAAATAATTAATAAAAAAACCCCAAAGCATGCAGCATTTTTTCTGCATTTCACTCTGCAAGCTAATCTTTAGTCAACATTTACTCTCAGCTTTTAGGAAGAGCCTGCATTCACTGGAATTTTGACTGAAACTCCCTTAACTTTAAAAGTTGATAATTCATTCTGTCTTTAGGGCACCAGAGAAGTGTCCACTTTACACAACAAAACACATGTTGAATAGTGTAAGGGCTGGAAGAAACAGAAAACATTTCATTTTTCTTTGAATCATCTACACACTTAACAAAAAGGGTAACTTTTTTGAAAAAGTATTGAACTATTTGAATGGCATTCTTTTAAAATGATACACTATCAGGGGCAAATTGAATAGTATTGGCATTCAAGACTTCTAAAGCTGTTTGTTCAAAATAGCTATATTTGTTCCAGGTGGGGCTGGACATACGCATTGTGCTCAACAGCTATTTAAAAAACTACTAGAGGAAACATTTTCTTCAGACATTAAGGGTAAAAACCCCCATAGAATAATGTTACTCTGTTCTAAGACAATAGTTGCTTTTGGAATAAATAACATTTTTTTTTCACAGCTTTTGTGTATTGCTTATTTAAACCAACTAGTGCACTCAGGAGATCATTTAATGGTGCTCGGAAGTGTCACAAGGGATTGCATAAACTTAAACGGTGAGGTTGAAGTGTGGGTGTATTTATCCTTATCTGGGTGAGTTCACTACATGGCAAACATGAGGGGCATCATGAATGGGCTTTGAGATGCGCTATGTGAAAACCTGAGAGAGGTGGTAAGTGAATACTGGGTGATATCTGCAGACAACACAAGGGAAAAAGAGACTTAAAGCCTCGGATATGAGACCAATTTATTACACTTTTCTTTATTCAGTAACCAATCATGCTTATAAACCAAATCATCTCAAAATTCCTTACGTAGCCCTTAACCCAAAACCCACAATGAAATCTGACTGAAAATGATGTTTTACCTACAAAATCATGACAGCATCCTAGAATCTCAGATGTAAAAAGAATTTTCGCTATTATTTATGTTACAGTTTTGAATAATGCTATGTTTAATGACAATATGATGCCTCTATAAACCACCTTCTTTAAAAGTAAACACTACTGAAGCGGGTCCCCATTCTTTATTTTGCCCAGCCTTAGATATATATTAATTACTGATGACAGATAAACTGATGCAGATTTTAATTTGGCTAGAAGACTTGATGGCAGCCTATAGTGTACTAGTAATTTTTTAGACAACTGCATGAGGGAGCTGCCTTTCCATCTGTCACATCTTGTTTTAACTGCGCAACCTGCTTTATCAATCAAGAGACTCGTAGAAAATAGTATTATTTTCTGAAATATTTATATGCTTGTTCTCATTTCATGACCAAGCCCATGGCAATGCTCTTGAGCTCTTTCTCATTAGATCCACATTTCATTCATTTCCCATAAATAAGGCAGCTTGTCTGCTGTGGTATTTGGGGTACCATGTTATCCGTAACAGCTTACTCAAATATTTTTCAATTGCACAAATTCAATAAGAAATGCTCTTCTGTCAGTTACTTATGTATACCACTTATGCCTCATTATTTTTTTATGTTTCAGTTTCAAAATGCAAGTCTGAGAAGATACATTCTCCTCTGTATTTGAAACATGGACATCATATAGATTAGATGAATAGAAGAGTATTCTACTCTTTGTTTCTTGAATTGGTCAAAATATTTTTTTCCTTTCAGAAATTAAATTATTAAATTCCTTAAAAGCAATTTCATTTCCAGAATGGATTACCTTATTCTGTCCTTCCACACTTACAATACTAACAATGGCTTTAATTTCTTTCTCCACCCTCTGTGGTTTTACCACTGAATCAGTGGTTTTGTTGCTCACGGGGAAAGGACACTCCTTCATACCTAGAACTTATTTATAATTCCTGCTAAATTCTTCACAAGCATCACAGCTTTCCTAGTAACCAGACGAGGATGTGGTTTATACCACATTTTACATAAATTTGATTTTGACTGACTTCCTCCTGTCCTTATTCAATTATTTTAAACAGAAAAATTATGTTTTTCTAGTTTTTTTAAAAGCCTACATTGCTTGCTAAAAGACACTTTAGGCTTTGACTGCATAGATTGATTAATGCCATCTGACGATTAAATTCAGTGGAATGTATTTAACAAAACTGATTAAGGCACCAGTGCTGGCATGAGTATGATATCAGTGAACAAAATAAATTAACATGCCATTACTACAGTGAGAACAAATATAAATAAATAAATGTGTGTTTTAACTTGGTATTCTTCTCTCCTTCTTAAAAAATGGTGTTGCCATTTACTTAGCCTTTCAGTCACATCATAACAGATAAGAAACTTGTTTTTACTAGAGTGAAAGAATAGCAATTCAATCTGTGTGGGGAAAAAAAAAAAAAGAAAGGGACAAACCCTTCTCTTTTGTACAAGGACTTCACTGGAGTTTTTTTGCCTATATCAATAGAGAAGCAGCTTGAAATTTGGCATAGATGTGAAGGGATACTATTGATTTTATTATGTGGATGCTGTTCCCTGATGGTTAATACAGTTATATTGCTTGAACTTGGAATACTTATAAACAATTAATTTTGATTTCTGTCACTACTATTGCATGTATGCAGTGTATCTATTATAATATGATTTTAGAAATGAACAATTCTGTTCATGTCTCACTTCAATTCACACTGCTGTCACAAAGAATGAATGTCTATATCTTCGTGGTCCAGGCTTTTACTTAAGTAATCCCCAGATACACCCCTAGTGATGCTTCCAGTGGTTCTGCCTCTCCACTATTGTCCAGGCTCTCAACAGTAAGGAAGTACTGCAAGCGGAGGTTATGAACAGTCAGTGCTTTCTTTCATGTTTAGCAGGAACATTGCTGAGTTGAAGAAAAAACACAAGTAGGTGTAGGTATTCATACTTTTTTGTAAGATCAATGGTCATTTCTCATATTGTCATGTACAGTGGAGTTGAGCTGACTGAGTGTCAGCATCTGCTATGTAGATGTCTGCACCTAAGGTAGGTATCTGTATCTGAGGGAGAAAAACGGTAATTTATCTAATTCTAAAGGAGATGTCTCAAATAGGGCTGTTGGATCATGATCTAAAAGAGTCTGTTCCTCTCTTCACTAATAGAAAGAACAAAAGAAGATGATATTAGATTTAGATGTTAAAATTAGGTGCAAATATTTTTTCCCACACTCCGAGGCAAAGTGTTAAAAGATTTCTGCAAATGAATGTGTGGAACAGCTAACACAGGTTTCCAGCTAAGGCTTACTTTAAGTCAGCTCTTCTGAAGAATTAAGGATGCAGAAGTTTTATTTTTCTACAGGAAAAAAAAATCAGAAAATCGGAAAAAAATGTATGTCCCAAAATAAAATGCCAGTGCACATAAAAGCTAATGGAAAAATGCTATTTTGAGAAAAATGAAGGACAGGAAAGAGAGGTGGAGTGGTATCTGAACTTTATCTTTTAGATATATCTTAGATATATGCCCTGTGTAAAAAACATTAAAAGTAACAGCAATGGTAGTTAAAGTAGCAGCTGAGTGACAAACATGCTTAGAACAAATCAGCATCACCTTCTAGAAGAGGTCCATTTCTTTCATGCTTACACTTTTAACACAAGAATACTTTCTAGATTTAGTTAAGAAAGTTCCATTTTGAAGATCCAAATTATCCTAGCCAAATGACAGGACTAGTAAAACAACATGTTATTTTTGTCTCTTACCTCTATAAAGAAGAGACTAGCTGCTGATGTTGGATGATGATACATATAGATGGTCACAAGGATGGCTGCAGCCACAATGAGGACCAGGACTAGAATGCCAACAATTAAGCCGGCATGAAGTGTTCCACCTTTCTTCTCTGCCGCACTGTCATCTGTGGAAGCTGCACAAATAGCACATTTATTAGCACAGTAACTTATGTTTTATCCATTTCATTTCACAGATGGCAATTGAGCATTTGCTTTTTCTGTTACATTACTCGTTTTCCACAGCCCAAGTTGGAAAAAGATGTTAGATAACTCATACTCTTATAATCTTAATGAACAGACATTTCCAAATGTTTTACTAATTCTAACTCAATTAAAAGAATTAATATCCTTTCTTTTGAATGTGATCTGGACGTTCTGAAGTTCCTAATTATCTTCATAATGAGTTTTGCTTTGATTTCTCATAAAACTATTGTAGTTGCCCTACAAACAAAAAGCACAAATTTAAAACATTTTGAATGTTGTATTTTTTTTCTTGAAAGGTTCAAGTTGAGACATACCACAAAGTCTTGTAAGGTCTAAACACATTATGAAAGCCTGATTCATTAGCTTGGAGAGGGATTTTGAACCACCCTGTACAATTGAATCAGACAGTCAAAGGTGTAACAGATGGATGCTAAATGACCCTGGAGTCTTCTAATCCTGGTCTGAATGGAACACTCATCATACCAAAGTATTACAAAAGACCATCCATTTACTAAACTGATACCAAGAGGCCACTCATGCTATGCTCCCATCAGTAGGAAAGATGGCTGTCTCTGTCACGCAAGCAACTTGTCATCAGAGCTTCCAAATAAGTGACTGAAAGTCTTTCAAAAACACTGCAAATCTTGTGGAAAAGGTCTCTTAATAATTAGCCAACATCTCTAGAACTACTGTGCTCAGGTGTAATTTCTACTTTGGACAACCTGGAATATTAGAGCAAGTACAAACATGGTGATAAGCAATGATTTTTCAGCATCCTCTTGAATAAAAGAAGTGCTGTTCTACCCATTACTGCAGGCAAAAGAGCAATTCAGAAGCCCTAAGTTTAAGATATGCCAGAAGTGTACTGATCATTTGGCTTCACAAACATACCATTCTCCTAATATTCCCACTGCTTTCTGCCTTTCTGGCAATCCTTTAAATCACCTCCATGCCTTACACCATACAACACCTGCCTCTGGTCCTGCTTATGAGAAATTTTCTTTCAATTCCACTTTTAAGTTTCCTCTCATCATGCTTGTTTGCCAAGCTGCCTATAATGAAATTTTTTTATTTCTGTGGTCATCCTCTTTATTGTGCCATCCCCCTAAAATATTTGTTTGGTTTTCTTAGAGTGGCATGGTCTGTTCCTTTTACTTGTTCTTGGAAAACAGCTACTGAGTTACGGATACCACTTCAAACAAGTTACTGTTATTGTTGTTAATAGTAACAACAATAACTGTACATGCTTTATTACTATTCATCAGATTGTGAGTAGACCATTCCATGCTAATATTAAAAAAGAGAATTGGAAAATAACAGAAGAAAGGTCTATTGATCTAGGTAGTGTTAAATGCCTTGTATCAGGGGTAATGAAAGAAAACAGGAATGGTTAATCTCAGTGTACTAGCTCATGCATCCACATATGGCAGCACTTTTCTCACCAGATGAAGGAAGGCCGGCATGGCTTGTCACCCAGCAGATTGCATGGCACCATTGCAACAATAGGGAAAAAAGGAAAATGAAGATGCATTATCTTAGCCAAGAGATATTTCTAACTATTACATGGAAGTGAATCTATGGGGAAGTAAAGGGATTCATGTACATTTTCTCTGCTTTTGCCCATATTTCCTCAATCACGAGTCAGGACAGCTGAAACCCTGCAGCAGTGCTCTGCTCTTTCCCATGAAGTCAGTGAGACAGCTTGTGGAGTAGGAGCTAAGTAACAGAATTAGAGGATAAAGAAAAAGAATCTGATAATTTGAGATGCTAAACTAGAATGTGGGAGGCATTAATGAATTTAAGAAAAAATTGCAAGCATGCACCCACACTCAGATACCGCCTAAGCCTGAAGGTATCTTCCTATTCACTGAAAAGTTCAGAAGTACTTGTTCACACAGGAACTCCAGTTTTAATTATGCTGATTGTGGTCATCAAGTTGGAGCTTCGGCATGAACAGGATCCCAGAACCAGGCCTCTGCCTGCCTAAATCCTACAAAGGATTTCTTAGCTTTCTTAAAGCTTAGTTCAAACAGGTATGTGAGTTTTAAAAAAAGAAAAGCAGTTTCAGCCTTATTTGATTGGGGGTTTTGGAGTTGGTGGGGGTTTTTTTTTGTTTTGTTTTTTTTTTGGTTTTCTTTTGTTGTTGTTGTTCTTGTGGTTTTGGTTTGGTTTGTTTTTTCTTTTTAAACACAGTACCTGCAGGAAAAATTTCCAGGCCATCCTTTACATTGCAGTGAAAGAAAGGAGATATTGCCTAGTATGTAGAAGATCCATTTTCAATGTATTCCCACCCAAAGGGCACTTAAAACACTTCCTGGTAGTTGTAGCACTATGTAGCAAAGGGTGCAAGATTCACGGGGGAAGCAGAAAAGAAAGGTGACCCTAAAAATAGTTCCTCTAACTTTCAGTCAGCAGTGTCTTTTACTTGACATAGCTATTAATAATTTATTAAATATCTATTCACTTTCAGCTGAGAATAGATGAAAGTATGCAAGCTCCAGTCTTAATTTCTGCTCATGCACTGTAAAGATATTTAGTACTTGCACATATATTTCAAATCACCAAACAAACGCAAGTTAAGCAATTGAAAGGCCATCAGGAAAGGCCTCCTTTATTGCAGATGCTCTGGGTTGGGCTATTAATTTCCATTGATGAGCAGTTAGTTGTGTGAATCATACTACGAAGAAGCAACCATTCCCTAGAAGGGGCCGAGGATTCATAGTTTGTCTGTCTTATAATTGCCTTTTTGACAGCTTCATACTCTTCTACTCTTCCCTTCAATAGCACATCAGTGCATCATAAACCATTTTGTCACTTGTACCCATCTTCAGGCCAATTTGCACTAAATGAGTAATCTGTACTGTTACTATGTTATGGCTGAAGGCAGAACATCATATTCTGCATATTAAAAACTGCTGGACTGCAGTTAAGATCCTAGCTACTCTGTAAAGGCCATCAAATTAATCCCCTTTGATCCAATATTTTTTCAGTGTTTAGCATCCAGCCTTGCAAATGAGAACACCGTCTCTTCCAAATTTCTACTAGTCTAAGGCAGAGCACTGCATGGACATCAATGCAGTGATCAGAATGCCAAATGCAAAACCAAAAAAGACATATAGTAAATGCTTTTTGACAACAAATGTAAGTAACTTGTAATTTCCATAATCGAAATTCAGTTCATTGACCCCAGGGCTCAAATACTCGTGAGAAATTGATTTCACTCTCTTTGCACTGAGACAATAAACAGTGCTGTCAAGTTTGAAAATACTCTCTGCTTCAAAATCAACTGACAGTTCTTTTAAAAGCCACTGAGGGAAATGGATGAAAAAAAAGGACTTGGAAACTTTCAGGTGCAGAAATTTTATTAAGATTACCAGAGCACATCTGCTGTTCCAGGCAAGGCTAAACCCATGGGAGGATATTTGTCTTATGACCAATCCTTTCCCAAAAAGAGTTGTCTCAGTGGAACTTTCCCCAAACTTTCCTTTTCTTGTGCTCAAAAAAGCAATTGTTGCATATAATATGCTCCATATTTGTAACTCCTCCCCAAATTATTACATGCATAAAGCTTTTAAGCAGAAGGAGCATATTAATGTCTCCAAGGTTAGTCTGCTTCTCATTAGGTGTTGAATTACAGGACAGAAACAGCAAGTAACTCCCCCCCTCCCCCCGATATAAAGGCACAGCAGTACAAACATGAAATAACTGTTCTCCTGCTGGAATGCTGTCTAAAAATTAAAAGTGAAAACACAATAAAAAATACTCTCATTGTTTGCATGATAAACACATAAAGACTATATAATCTTTGATTTTGTATTATCGTATTATGTCTCTAGTTACACTTGATTTAGCTTCTTTTGGAGTAGGAAAAACCAAGAAACTTGAGGAATTACTATGAATGAAAATTTTGTCTTGGCCCATGGGGACTATGATGCTGACTTTAATAGAAACAAAGGTGTGTACGAACTGAGGCTGCTATTTAGAGTTTTTGTCTTTTTGATACTTTCTCATTCTTTTTCTCATTATTGCATATTAACCACTGAGGTCTGCAAAATAAAAAAACACATTGTTTTCTGTTATCTAAATTTAAGGTTTACACAAAGTTTCTCTTGTGATAGCTTTATATATGACAAATCAAAATTGTGGTACATGCATTTTCACCCTCACGATATGAGATGGACGAGAGTTTATTTACCAGAGATTAGTATCTCTGTCTGCGAGAGAAGAGATACAAAAATGTTTTATGGTAAAATTGAGGAAAAATAGGTGAACATCTGGTCCATCCTGGCTAGAAACTTTCTTTTATATAAAGTGACATGGAATCAAGGGAAAAAAAACAGACAAAAAATAGGATTTCTTTTTGTGGACCTGGAAAATAAAGCTTTGCTCTTTC